CTCTCTCTCTCTCTCTCTCTCTCTCTCTCTCTCTCTCTCTCTCTCTCTCTCTCTCTCTCTGATGCAAACACAAGCGCGAGGGTTAGTTCGCCGGTTGAAATGAAAATCAAAATCGACCGAGGGAGATGTCGGGACCGATGAGTCGGCACTTTTGCACCAATTGGCGAGTCGGCGCGCTTATCGCGATCACGGTGTTAGAACGAAAGCACGTGACGACGTTTAATTAACCGTTGCATTAATGAAGCGACGTAAGCAGTGGTACACGGGGCCAAGGCTTCGATTGAGCAAGAAGAGAAGGCCAATTAAAGATACACGTTAGAGACATTAGAATCCAAACGCATTCGGCAACGCGGAGAATATTTGTTGGGTGTTTCTTCGTTTTCGTTATGAGTCGCTTGTTCTCACGCAACTTGTGCGAATGTGCCAGACTCTACTTGGAGCCTCATTTAAGATATGAATAATCTGCCACTTGTATCGTTTTGCATTCCCGAGGCACGATACATAACGTAGATTTACATTTTTGATTGCCGGGTAACTCGGCATCGCAACAAAGGTGCGCGTGTCACACGAGGATTATTCGTGACAACTCACGAGAGGCCGATGTATGTATCTGTTACGACGCGTAATACAGAAATCGATGGTAATTATAGTATTTGTATGTACATTATGTGGCTCACGTAATGGCACGTAGAGGGATGTCTCGCAAAGTCACGCGACGAATCTTGCAAGTACACTTGCCGACGAATCGCCCGGAATCGTGGAATCGACTCGGCCTTCGAATTGACATTTTAAGCGAGATTACACGATACATTTAATAGAAGATATTCACTAACAATTGATTTCGCAAAAGAAGCTTTTAGATTCTGTGAAGATACGATTCGCTGCCTCACACCTCGGACATTTGTGGCAAATAAATGTTGAAGAGTTGGAAAATGGAAATGATCTTTGCGAATTTTAAACACGGCGGAAAAGTCGAATCGAAAATTGCGCTCATTGTGGCAATTAATCATAACTGCTACCGCTAACAGGTTAATTCATGAAATAATCTGCACGATCGTGACCTTTCGCATTGAATCGTAATCCTGCACCATCGTGTAATCCGACAAGTGCGCTTCCGCTGTATCAATTAATGCATGTAACCAGGCAATTACAAAAAGGTCAGAACTATTCCGTCGCGCTTTTTCTCTCTGTCTTTCTGTCTCTCTCCCTCTCTCTTTCTTTCCAATTCTTATTATTGCTCAATATCGAAAGTCCACCTCCATTGATTTCAAATTTATCGACATTTGCCGCAGACAAACGGAGAATCATAACATAATAATTGTCTCTCGTTTAAAAATCCATGCCTTTTTCCCTTTAAGCGTCGCAAAAGTTCAGAGACCAAATGTAACTCGAAGCGTCCGAATAAAAATGAGACCTCTCGGGAGAAATACGATCGTGCCGGGGAAAGCAGCCTCCTCTCGAGAAAATCTCGCCGCGAGTGACTCGATATTACGCGCGACGGCCAATCGATCTTCATTAAATAGAGACAAGGGCTGCAATTTGCATAGAAAAATCGAAGGCGTGCGCGTCTCATAAATGATGAGAGAAGACCGACCGGTATATGTCAGTGTCAGTCGCATTATACCACCCGCCGCCCCGAGAATATCGATCTATCACGATCGAGACGTCAGTCCCGTCATTTGGGCGAAACGATCGACAATTTGTAGACCCACCACTCGTTTGGTGGACTGATCGATATTCCTTCTGACATCTCCGACAAAGTCGGCGCTTCCACGTCTCAATTGTAAAATATCGATAGGCCAGCCGTTGTCCATTTACTGCTCGATATCGACCTCGCGATATCGACGTCGCGGATTGGGCCAGTTAATTTGACGCGTCACGGTTCGCGGTCTTTCGCATATGATACTCGTCCGAAGCACGCTCGTGAGTTTATTACGTCGCGTTGACATTTGTTTAATAGACTCGTAAGACGCAAGTACACGCAGGAAAATGCATACTGCATCGAAGAAAGTGTTGCTTATTTCAAATGTTTCGTGCAAGTTTACGTTTGGTAAGAAAATCCGTCACAAGTTCATCGTTCAATTTTCCATCTTCCAACTCTTCAACGTTCATAAGCATCAAATTTATTCAAAATATATTCTGGATCCCAGTAAGTTTGGCATTTCAATCAAGAATGTTAAACTGAAAAAACTTCAGTTTGCTTGATGATACACACAATCAAATCAACTTTCTGTTCGGTAAAGTTTTATGATACTCTTATAAAGAGAATAATTTTTTTTCGGGTATATAATAACGAGCTTTTTTAAGATGGATATATTTTCAGACTCTCTTTGTTGAAGATGAACATTGCTCTAAAGAAGAGAAATAAAAGAAGAGATAAAATGAACAATCGCTTTTCTTAGCAATAGAATGATATTTCTCCGTGTGCGTTTAAGTCCAAAAGAACGAAAAGCACAACTCGGCTAACATTCATCTTACACAACCTCGCAGAATTTCCCGGAGGATATTTCGATAATACTTCAATATCAAAAATAATATTTCGTTATTACGAAACGATGAGACAGAGTCAGGTTTGTGCATTGAGAAGACGCACATTTGGCTCGCGAAAGCGTAACCTCCGTGGGACGTTACTCCAACGCAAAGGGTTAACGTCTTTATGAAGCTCGCGATTGCGCAAACAGTCATAATTTTCAGCCGTAATAATCGGCCGAATGTGACGGAGTTTTGGAATAAAGCGCCGTTGATATCTCGATCGGATCGTCTCCCTCGGGATTTCGGAGCTTTCGGGGGAAACGTCTCGCGGACACGCACTCGTTGTCTCGGGATAAATGGGGTACATTTCGTCGGCGAGATAGTCTTCTCGGAGACGCGTGACGTCGCCGCTCGAGCACAGCACGGTAATGTCTCCCGAGGAAAGGGCCTCGTTGTCCGAGCCCGAATCGCGACGACGTTGTCTCTGACGAGCAAGTTTCGCGCGTCGTTAAACCTTAAGCACCAACGTGTCGTCCCCCACGGATGGAAATGCATAATGATACCTCGGGGCCGGCAAATATGCGCGCGCGCACTGTCGTAATTTCGGAGATGAAGCATAGGTACACTTTGCGTCTTAATTGTCGAGCACTAATCGGCACTTTGCGTTAAAGCGCTGGGAAATCCGGCGAAAATGAAAGTAGCCGAAAATTAGCCGCTCGAAAATAAAAGGGAGAGAGGAAAAAAGGGGGGAGAGATTACATTCTTGCTTTTTTTCCACACTTCTTTTTGTGCGTCCATAATCTTAATTTGTCATGTATAAGGTAAAGGATCTTACTGTTAAGGAGTTTATTCACCGGGTTTTAGGACAAGGGGTTACTCATAAATTCATTATTTATTAAACAAAATTACGTTTTCATATATTTATTATGGTTTGCAATCAACTATTACACAAAAACAGTCTAGTGAATACTAGTGAATATTCTTTCTTCTATGCCGCGTTTCCTAATATGTAACATTTATAACGGCAAATGTTTTTACCTGGATGGTATCATTTTTTACGAAGTTAGATTTGAATAACGGTCGTCTTTGTCGCTTCTACCGTAAATTGATACGTGCGAAATTGCGATATTTAGTACAAAATTTTTCATAAGCCGTGCAGATGCATCCTTTGAAACTACAAATGTGTTTTATTGTGATAAATGTTACGTTAAATTTTGGCATAATTTTAAGCATTTTGGTTCAAGTGAATAAACTCCTTAATGTGGAAGTCTCGTAGACAAACTACTATCGTCACTCATCCTCTCTCTTTCCTCTATGTTTTTCTAATACCGTGTAACTTCAAGTTTGCGTTCCTTCGGCCCTGTCACGTTTGTAATTAAAGGGCATTCGTGAATTCTACTCGCGTTCGAGAATAATGGTAATATTGTTTTACGTGGCAGGGAGAGAGAGAGAGTGTGTGTGTGTGTGTAGCTTCGTTTCGCGTGAAGAAACGCGCAAGACGAAGAGCCTTTCTTCGTTTGCATTGAAGCGATTTGCACGAGCAAAGGGAAGTCGATTTGCTTAATATAACAAACTGAGCGAGCGAATAACGACGGCAAGGTCACGACAAAAAGTGCGATATTTTCTTTTGTTCCTTTTTTTTTTGCAAACAGTTACATATCACAACTTACGTGTTCTCATTCGTTGCAGGATCGTTACCTGATATCGCAGTGACGATGGCATCGGGCAGGGAGATCCATGGTGCTTTCAGGTGAGCTGGATTTTACGACGTAAACGTTGACGCGGGAGATTTGGCATCTGAAGTGAAATCCTGTTTCCTGAAAAACGGATCGACATCACTTTATCGACACTTCTCTTTTCACGTTTATTCTATCGCTGACGTATTCGATAAATAGCGATAATTACTCTTTGATTATAAAAATAATGAAATGAAATATTCGAAAAATAATTACTATTGAAATTGTTTTTTCGCGTCTATCCCCCTCTCTCACACGTCAGCATTTCGCACGAATGAAGTTAAAAGAGGAGGAAAACGGGGAAGAGGATAGTCTAGCTGGCTCGTGCCAAAGATTTTCGCGGGTTTACGCTTCGCGCGCGGCCTTTGGAAATTCGTTGTTAACGGTTCACTAAGCGTCTATGCACGCGAACGTACCGCACGAGAACACCGTATAAACTTTTCACGAGTGCGTGTTCCGGCAGACGCACCGGAAAGAAGTCCCACTCAGTTATTTCGAGGCTTTTCGTGGGTGTACGTGCGTTTTCACGCGACCTTTACCGATTCGGCGTAGGTGTGAGCGAATAAAGCGGCAGGGCACTTTAACGTCGGTGCGTCGATACTGCAATAAATAGAAACGCTTAAAAATTTAATATCCCGCTACCTTTATGCACTTCGATATCGAATGTTGCGAAAGAGCTCGATATTACGCGGCATTATCATTACGCGAAGGCACCGACGACACTCGGGAGCGATTGTGAATTCAGGTAACATCGGGTCTGTTATTTTAAGATATCGCTATCGCACACGGAAAAAGATCTCCGTTCGTGCAAATGAATAGGGGTCAGATGAAAATTCGACGACGTGAAATGACGCCTCTGTTGTCGCGAAACGAGAACACTTATTTATATTAAAATTCGCTTGTAATAACCGAGAACAATTAGCTGGCCATAGTTATGCAAGAAACTTATGATCCCGAAAATTATGATCTTTGAGTTTTCGTTTTACCAATTTTCTACATCAAACCCTTGTGGGTGCCTAAGTTTAATTAAAAAGTAGTTTTTTTTATTTTCGACTAGTTGTGCTATTTTTTATTACTTACGTTCTCTTCGTTGCTTTAAAGGTTAAACTTGTCAGTGAATACCCTAGAAGAGAAGAAAATTGACGATGCTCGACTTCTTGAACGATTGCGATAGAACTCCAGTGTTATCTATTATCTTCAAATTATATGTCAAGCTTTTATTTCCATTTTTCTCGAAAATGAAGAATGGACTTCATGTGGATTAGATCATTCTTGCATAACTACGGCCAACTGAACCGAGTGGAAACCTTCTGCAGGAATCCTGCAACCGAGTTTCTCACCTAGTCACTATTCTCACCACAGGCAACGGAAAATCCAATTACACTCCAACGGAATTATAATTTTTCCGTGCATCTATAACGTCAACCAAGGAGATTTCCGCCGCAGATCAAGAGACGCGAACTATGTGTGCGCGACCGGAGTCAGATTGCGCTTCAATTCAAATGGAAATTGAAGATATGTATCCCCTTATCAGTGAGAAATTTTCTCTTCAGTTTTCCGCAGTAAGAGATATCCTCCTGGTACAGTAAAATCTCGGTAAAATCTCGCAGCAGAGACGACATTATCGCGCGCGAATAATGGACAGAGTCCTCCGTTAATCGGCGTATTTCCGCCGCATTTAATGCATATTAAATGTAATTGCACGGGAATTATATGCGGCAGAAATTACAATTGCGTCCAACATCGTCTCGGCGAGAGAGATACACCACAGATAGACGGCTGTGAGCAAAACTCTCGCGTCTTTAGAGTTGCCCGGCGATGATCTCGACTCACGTCGACTCGCGACGAAAGCACCGCGAAATGTCGCTCCAGAAAGTCGCGTTTTCGGCTTGTTGCACTCGTGGCAATTACCATGCGCCAGATTAGCCACGACCGGCCGCGAGCAGAAAAACTTCGCGTTTACATGCAAAAAAAGAATTAGCTTCCAGAGCTAAAAAATAGCTGTGGCAGATAAGATGTGTCACTGAAATAAGGACAGCTAATGTCGATACTACCGAAGCTAAATTTATTCGCTATTAAGGGGATGCTGAAGCTGAAAACTTTACCGACAGAACACTGACATTTTTCTGCAAAGTTTACGTCGTATTGGTTACACAGAATTACAAATGCTTTTACGCAATGAAAGTACGTGCAAAGATAAATTGAAGCATTGCTCGATATGTGATGAAAACGAATAAAAAATTTTTTATGTAAAATATCAATCTGTCATTTAGCGTAATGTTTGCCTAATCCAAAAGTTTCGCAGCTTGTACATGCCGAAAGTGTGGATGCTCTAAACAGAAAAATTTTGAAGAACATTGCTCTACTTTCGCATCTGTCTTTAAAAGCTTAAAAATATCGAAAAAATTTGCAGAAAGATCTTTGCACATATATGGTTAAGTTGAATATGGTAAAACAAAACAACACACATTCACGTAATTTTTGTGTATACAAGAAATACAAAAAAGATAGCGTGATTATGTTAGTGACGATCGTCTCTGTATTATCGACATGGTTCGAGTTCATCATCGACTCCAGCATCCCCTTAAACTTAGACGCTACAGCGAGAAATATTAGCTGCTAGAAATAAATGAGTGTAACAAATGATTGTAGCTGTACGGCAAACTTCTTTAATATATGCATACGATAAGAAATTTAGGAATAACTGCCATTTTCTTAGCTACTTGAAATAATATGCATTTTTAATGTCACCTAATATATTTGTATTTCATAGCAAACGCATCTTAGCTGTCATAGCCAATTCTTAAGTGACAGCTAAACGATTAGCCTTTTGACTAAGTTTAAATCAGCTACCGCGGTTTAGCTGATATTACTAAATAATTTTTTTGCGTGTAGCGTAGGCACGGGGTAATTTTATTCTCAGCGACGTTGGCTTATTTTTATTATGCTCTTACAGGCAGCATCGATCTCTCGCGCGCCGTCAGTTGACGTCGTTCGATTTCATAGTCCTTCGTAAGTAATGCAACGACTAGTAGTACGCCGTCATAGACAGAGGCTGAATGAAAAAACAACGGGGAGAGAGTGACGGGGGTCGTGAGGAGGGGGGAGGGGGCGAACGAGTATCGAATCTATCTTTAGTGTCGCGCGGCAGAAGTTATATTCTTTCTCTTGCGTGCGCCGCCTCAACCCTTTGCGACCTACCGGTCGTAGTATCGCGTTCTACGTGAATAAATGATCTCCCGGACGTTACGCGACTGAACTGCGCCGCGCGTGTCGCACCACGTGATGTGCGCGCGATACACTTCCGCCTCCGCACGAAATGTCACGCGTGAGTACCTTCGACGCTCGTAAACGACCTTTTTTTGACTGTCCTGAAATCGATACAGTCACAGTACTCTCACGGCACTCTCCCGGCAGTCAGGCCGGCCGGAGATTGGAAAGTTCCGCACTAAATTTCAGTCGAATCGTCCGGGATCCGTTTCGTTCTCCGCCGTGGAATACCACCGCATTCATTCATGCCCGGCGATTTTCGCTAAGCCGCGCCGAGTCCTTGACGTCACGTTTAAGACGCTGTTAGAAGAGAGATTACGGTCGCAAGTATGCGTGTAAGAGCGACAGCAACATCGTAGCAAGAGAGAAAGAGAGAAAATGGAGGAGAATAAAAGAGATAGAAAAAGTTCTAAGCACCCCCGAGACGCGCGTATCATCGTGTCCTTCAGCGGATAATACTGTCTGTTAAAAATGCAAACCCATTATTGAAGCTATCGCAGAAATAAATTGGTCCGGTCTCTCTCTCTCTCTCTCTCTCTCTCTCTCTCTCTCTCTCTCTCTCTCGCGCGCGCGCACGTCATCAAGATCGATTTTCGCGCGTGTTCTGGAGCGATCGGACGTCATTCACGCAATGTTTCCTCGTCCGAATAATATCTGGAGCTGTTAGTCACTCGACAGCAGCGTGGAACGAAATGGGTAGGAATTGAAATATCACATTCGATCGAAATTCTGCAAGATTTTTCCAAATTCGAGGGCCGTGACACACGGAAAAAGTAAGCTTTGAGGGAATATTTGTGTAAAACAAGCCGAAAAATCGTCACATTAAAAAAGGAATTTTTTTTTTTAAAGAAATTACAAAATATTACCGACCCATTTTGCGATCTTTATTTCAACTAAGCTAGATGAGCCCAATTGTGGCAGCCATAAAAAAAACTCGACGTACTACGCGTCCTACTAAATAACTCTTCTAATGAGCATTATTTTTACTCATAAAAATACACACATGTCCTTTAAGCATACATAAATATATAGACAAAAACACGTTCTGAAATGTTTTGTAGTTTCTCTAAAAAAAATTTTTAAGAATAATCTGTTTTTCGACCTGTTCTAAGAGAATATCTCCTCAAGACTTAAAACAGTAAGAAAATTGTTCAATTACAGTCGATTATTATTAAATTAAGGAGACTAGTCGACCGTAATTGGTCAATTTATTTAACCTCTATAGTGGTGATTTAAAATAACCACGATTCTCCCCAAGACGGCTTTTTTTAAACAAGCGTATCCAGATTACTGCTTCCTTCCATTTTCTCTGAAGAATTTTGGAAAATGCAACACAAAATATATGTAATTTGTATGTACTGTGAATTAAAAGGAATACATAATAGTTTTAGTAAATCGAGAGATACTTAATATTTTAGCTTTTTTCCGGGCACATCACTAGAGGGGGAGTTAATGCTTATGTCTCATTGCTTGCGTTTTCATGCGTGCCATAAGCCTGACGTTGCCGCGTTATCAAAAGCGAGTGAGCCCGTGTCGTATGTGCGGCGCGGTGTATCTCGCGCGATTTCCGAAAAATCAATACTTTTCCGCGTTAACGCGCGCGGCTCTCGGCTCTCACCGAGATGACGTAACGTTTGACGTAAGCAACAATCGTTGCGGCCGCGATGCCGCAGAGAGAGAGAGAGAGAAAGAGAGAGAGAGGCGAACGTCGATAGGAACATCGGACGTCACGAGTGCCTTCGCCTTGCTTAGATCGGCGTTTTCAGGGCGGGACAGACGGACGGTCTCCTCGGGGTTAATTGGAAAGCATTCTTGTCGAGACATTTTCACGTATACAGCTTCGCGTCACACTTACGCAGAAAAAAAAGAAAAAAGAAACATTTTTCAAAAGCGCCTCGTACGGATGGAGAATTTGCGAATTCACGCGCCGCTACATAGTCTTCGCCGATTAATCTCCGCTTCGATCGTCGCCCTCTACCCTTTCGCCGTCCCTTCGACCCCGTTCCGCCGCAGCAATGTGCCGCGAAAATGATTCGCGATTACGGCAGGCGCGGCAGGCGCGCTGACAAGGCGAATATTTCGTCTGCCGTGCGCCATATATCCTCAGCCCGCGCGAAATTGATTTCGCCACTCGCTTCTGTCCCGGCTGAATGGCCTGTCCCCCCCTCCTGGTGCCAGAAAAACGGATCATCGAAAAGAAACGCGGAAATCACTACGTTCATGCCTGGTTTCACACTTTCCAACGTCAAGAGAACGCGTCTTTTCCGCATTTAAGGAGCGAATTGAACTTTCCTCATTCACTTGCCGAATCTCGGTGCGCTCGCGGAGCGCCTCGATTCTCTTTGGAAGCGAAGATTCGCTAAAGAAACATCGGCCTCGACGCCAACTTTTCTCATTTAAGTGAATATATGCTATCAGTATTCACCAAATGAATATTTATCATTTCTTAGATATTTCTTCTCTCGGTATATCCCGGAAAATTAGAGACTTGGTTCACTTTAGCGGTAAACTTATTATCGACGGTTCGCTCATCGATAAGCTAAAGTGAGTCAAGTCTTTGATTTTCCGGGATACACTGAGAGAACAGAAATATGTAAAAAATAATACATATTTATTTGGTGAGTACTAATAGCATATGTTCATTTAAATCTAAATTCTTTTGTTTAAATGAAATAAACCGAAGTTGCTTGGTAGTCGCGCGCGAGTACTTGAGAGGTGCTGAACGACTTCGTTTCGGTGTGGCGCAAAGTGGGGGTTGGAGCGCCATATTTTTCCTGCCTTCCCCTATCTAAAATGACTATGTAAAATCGTGAAGACTGATACAAGATTGTTCCTCAAAAATATCACATTTCCCTTTGAATTAACAGAAAATCTTTCGTAAAATATCCATTTCTACTCAGAATGACCCGCGACTGGCGGAAGACAGTTCTGTGTGACGCTTCGCGACGATCTGCAGCCGAAATTTGCAGGCGAAATTTGCGGCACTCGGCGCCGTGGCGTTCTCTATTTACGCTTCATGGCGCTAACAGCGATAACGCTTCCGTCTTTTTCCGCCGGTGATATCAGCCCGGGCGAAAAGAAGCTCGTAAATCCGAGCGTAAACAACGCCCTAGAACGCGAGGCGCGCCGGAGAGGGATAATTCTAGATTCGATTGTGTGTACGGCCCGTGTGCAACGGGGGGGAGAGAGAGAGAGAGAGAGAGAGAAAGAGAAAGAGAGAGAGATACCGAAGGCCCCTGATACACACCGAAACGAGACTCGGGACAGCCGCTCTCGGATCGATACTCGCCACGGTTTCCGTACGCGAACCCGACGAAATGCATGCGAGACCAAAGTAGAAATCATCCTACCCGACCGATTTCTCCCCGCCCGCACTTGCGAATGCAACGACCTTTATCGATTTGTCATATTCGCGAGTGATTCCCGCCTGATGTGACGTCATTCGCTCATGTCACGCCGTACACGGACGGCTCTGTCATCGGAGCCAGGTCGCGATACCCGCACGTAATGATCAATGTCGTAAATGTTTGCTTAAAAACACACAGCGCGGGAATGCGCGGATTCGCCGTGTTTACACCACGCCATAAAGTTATCTCTCCCTTTTGTTCTCTATTTGTTTCCTTGTCTTTCTCTGCGAGAGAGAGGCGACTGTCCGTACTAATATTATTTGTACCTGTATATGTTGCTCCAAAAGAGAGATAGAATATATATTATACTAGAGTATATATATATAATAAGTCAGTTCTTTGCTCTATTCTCTTTTTATTCTATTCTCTGATTTTGTTCACTCATCAGTAAACTGGGATACTGGAGTGTAACAATAACCAGCACGCTAAATTAAGCCACTGAACAGGCAAAAAGAGCAACAGTTAGCAAGGTATAAATTATGTACTATGACTGAGCATTTTAGATGAAGCCATTCACTTGTCTCGCGCACAGATTGTAAATATCCTAATTTTTCTATATTTTCATCGTAGTGCAGTTTTCACGGACTTCATTGAGACTTGGAAAATGATATTGTATAATATAATATATAAATAATATTGTGCAGATTAATAAACATGTTATAGATGATTCATTTTTAATTTGAAGGACGTCAAAGTCTAAGACGGCTAAACCGCTGATTGCACGTGCAATTTGCATTTTGATATTCTATCATTAGTACACTGAGAGAAAAATTATCTTAAAATCAACAAATATTTCCTTGGTGGGTGCCATTAACATATTTACTTGAATCTACATTCTCTTTACTTAGATAAAATATTGTTTACTTGATTTAAATGAAGGAAATATCCCATCAAGGAAATATTTGTTGATTTTAAGATAATTTTTCTCTCAGTGTAGAGAAAGCCTTGATTATCTAGCTGAAAATCTAAAATTCAGACAAAATGACCGCACGGAGTCTCGCTTTTCCAAAATAGACTTAAGTTTACCACAATGTAGGACCAACGCGTGTCTAAGACCGTATTCTGAACGCATAATGAACGCTAAATATGTCTCTTTGATTCCCAAGCTGAAACCACATTATAGGTGATGTTTATACAAGATAAAACAGAACTTGAAATTAAAAAGGCATATTTAGCTTTCAATATGCGATCAGAATAAGGCCTCTGTGCTCCTTCGACTACTCAGTGAGCTCTGCTTGGAGCGCACGACCCCATTACTTGAGAATGAGGGGAATCCTCTTCTGCACACTGAGATAAATATTTAAGAAATAATATATATTTATTCGCAGTGAATATTATTAATAACATATACTAATATATAAAATACTAATATATAAAATACTTTTCAATTAAAAAATATACATTTTCTTAAATATGTCCCTCAGATTAAAAATGAATCATCTATAACATGTTCATTAATCTGCACAATATTATTTTCCGAGCTTCAATGAAGTCCGTGAAAATCGCGCTACAATAATGAAAGTATAGAAAAATTATTTACAATTAAGCAGACTCTTCATGAAAGCAACTATTTATTCTATTCAAGCAAAAAAACTTAGGGATTTAAGTAAATGTGTTTTATTAGCACCCACCACAAATAAATATTTACTATTTTTAGATACTTTTTCTCTCAGTATAGAACATGTTCCCAAGCGAAAGAGACTGCCAGCATCAATACAATCGCGCTATTCTGCATTGTTTATAGCCTCATCGTGGACGACGTGGACTCGCACTCGATCCTCAGCGACGGCTCCGACCTGGACGGTCTGTCGCGCGGAAGCACCTCGCAGAACTCCGTGTCGCAGACGCCGCTGGACAGCCCGGGCGGACCCAGGGAGAGGATCAAGCAGATTCAGATGGAGGCCGAGACGAGACGCGACGAGTTCGCCAGGCTGTTGGAGGAGCACGCGCAGGTGGTGCGCAAGCTGAAGATGATGGAGGCGGAGGAGCAGCTGTCGACGACGACGACCGGAAACGTGATCGACGGCACGCACGCGTGATTTTACGTGGTCGAGGGAAAAACGGCGCCGAGAGTCGAGGTGCGACCACCATCGTCGCCACCTCCGCCGTCTCCGTCTCGTCGCGTTTCTCCTTCGTCTGTCCCGTCGACCGCGGCACATCGCCCGGACGAGCCACCGTCGTCGTCGTCGTCGTCGTGGCCTATCACGTCGCAATTTGCGATTCACGCTCGAGACGCGGACAACACTAACCTCGTCGCTAAACCTCGGGATTATTAGCCCTCGGATGTGAGGACATCCGTCGAGCACGCGGAGTGCAAGGAAGACGATGATCGGGCCACATCCGAGGGTTAATCGAAGCGAAGAGGGCTGTACGGACTCGAAACAACTTCTCTCGCTGTTTATTTCTTCTTTTGTTTCCATCACGTTTTCTCCCTTTTTTTTCTCTTTTCCCTTCGCTTTGCCGTGCTTCGGGCTGAACTCGATCGTGCTTCTTTGGTTGTCTAACGAAACGAACATCGACGGCTTGCAAGTGAAAGCTAAATTATTCAAACGCGACGCGCGGAGGATTGCTCGTTTTAATCGACGACTAGATCACCGCGGCTGAACGGAGCGATTGTTATTTTTGCATACAAACATTCGAATACATAAAGAGAGAGAGAGAGAGAGAGAGGTGAGGGAGAGAGATAGAAGAGAGTGAAGCTTGCTTCGTGCGCTGTTATACACTGTAATCAATTTATATCGTTTAAGACTTGAGATTCGTGATCGAGCGACAACTCGATTAGCGGCAATCAGGCGCTGCGCTAATCTCGAAGCAATTTCGACGGTTATATAATTTTGACGATTTCGAGGTGAAAATGCGACATCTCGAATTGTAAAAGCGACCGAACGAACGAGCGAGCTCGACGCTACGATTGACCCGGGCGTCGATCGTAGTGATCGACCGACGGGATCCAACACGGAGATTCGCGATGGAACCTGGTAAACAATCAACCTCCCGCGTGGGCGAGAGAGGGAGGGAGGGGGGGGGCAGAGGAGGGGTCGTTCTTACTTAATTCTCGTTTGCCACAAAGTCTGAAATACCACTAGACACGACAATAATGAGGAACACTCGTGAGAAAGAAAGAGAGAGGGAGAAAAAAAAAAAAAGAAAAGTAACGCACGACGCGCCGGACGTAGTGCGACCGGATGTTTTGCGTGGAACAAGTGGAACTCCCGCCCGTTCGAACTAGCTCAGCAGCAACGGCTGGCCTAAGCGTAGTACAAATTTTGCAGTCAAGAGTCTTAATAAAAAGGCGCGAGCCGAGTGGGCCGAGAGAGTTTCCGGCATATAATCTCAGAAGCTGACGAGCCGCGACGAGACGCGCCGAGCAACGCCGCCGTCGCGTCACTCGCGGGGGGGAAAGAGGGGGAGGGGGGAGGCAGGGTAGAGGGAATAGTGTCGACGAACACGTTAGCCTACTCTCGACGGGGTACAAGCTTCTACGTTTTATAGTACCGTAGAGTTGAGTGTTCCATAACAGTGTGTAAGCTAGTTTTGTATATCGTAAATACACGTGTACGATAAAGCGGTGTCTGTGTCGGGTCTGACGGAAAAAGGTGAGCACTTCAGGGTGAGCAAATGGCTTTCTTTCCATCGACCTTCGTTGATTAATCTCCTCTCCGCCATAAATCTTTTCGAATCGACAACGCAAAGCTGCAGTCTCGAAGTTCAAATTCAAGAGAAGAAAGAAACCTCACTCTTTTGCAAGAGCGTTTCGAGCGAATTTCGTTTGGAGGACTTCGGGGATTCAACTCGAAATACAATGGTCACGGTGCCAAGAACGAAAAGCTCACGCGAAATATTCACGGGGAAACGTTGGGGAATTCTGAAAGGGGGACGAGCAAACGACGATGCACCGCGAAGGAATTGATCGACGGTGCGCGAGGTAGACGAGCGTAATCAACGATAGCGCCAATCAGTAATCTAACAGCGATATCGATCGGGTGGACTCACCAACTGTATACTAGACTACAGTTTCAGTATATCGTAAGAATTATCGTAATATAGACAAGAGAGGAAAGAGACATTAACTTCGAGATTAACTTCAAGCCCGACTGTCGGGGTGCGATCGGCTCCGGGTATTTCGCAAAGCTGGAAAACAGTGGCTGAGACTATTGTTATCACGAACTGAGAAAAACAGTCTAATAGGCTAATGACACTCCATCTCGCCACAAATTTCACTCCGAGGAGTTAGGGAGTCTGTTAAAATACGGGCGGGTGGGTCTCTCTCTCTCTCTCTCTCTCTTTCTCCCGATCGAAAGAGAGAAAGAGAGAAAGAGAGTGAGCGAGAGACGCTCTGCTACTTTTCTACGCGTGCTACGTCAGATCCGCGTCTAGATATTAGACATTAGGTATCCTCATAGGCATTTATAGACTTGTAAGCATGTACGAGTATAAAGAGAGACACACGTAGAGCCGTGTTAAATAATACAGCCCTAGAGCGTAGAGGTGTCTATTGTTACACAGCGCGCCAGAGTCTACGTCTACTACGGCCCAATTGGACTCGCGCGCGCGCGCCAATTGGGCGATATCTTTACCGCTTTGATTAATTCGTAAAACGTCCCACGTCAAACGATAAGGCGCGCGATGACGCTCGTACACGATAATCGACCGAGATGACAATTGTTCGCGTTGCTCTTTATAAACTTGGCGGCACGAGGTACACACTACGGGACCGACGGAAGCTTCCAAGGAGGATGACTGGAAACAGTCCATTTCTGGTCCGTTGACGGAACCTCAGCTAATCGTTGAAAAACTGTTTCTGTAATCTTCGGGGGGAGGGACAGAAAGTTACAATTATATATTTACCAGCTCCTGGGAAAATTATGAAAATCGAGATTCAATATTCTCTCTTCGAAAACGCATTTGACAAACGTCGCCGCACGTCATCGACTGGCGCACTGTGTGAGCAAAGAGGACTGCGTCAGAATACGTAAGGAATAGACCGAGTAATTTTAGCTGCTCAGAGAAACGTAAAATGCTTTGAAGGAAATTTCGCGCAGAGGGAAGGGAGAGGGGGAGAAAAGCAATACTATGCGAGGCAATAATCTCGCCGACACACTCGGGAGGAACGCGGCCCGACGCGACGAACGAGTGCGGGGGAGAAGTTTGCGTCGATTTTCCGTGCGAGATTTCCAGGAGCATTACTATTACGTTAAGAACGCTACCTACGTACGTGTATCGTCACCGTATTGTAGTTTTTACTGTTATTATCATTCGTACGATTCTACGTGTTAGAAGGCGGCTGTACATGATATATACATTTACCACGTTTGTAATGAAATGTCGAGAAAATACGCGATTTTTATTTCGTGCGAGCGGGGAATCGCGATTCGCGACAGCGATTTTGTCGGCTCTGCTTTCTACCGTCGCAATGGCAAATGGCCATTTTAAAACTCGACAAGGTGCAGTGTAATATTATATCACACCGGGTTGATACATAATTGAGAGAACGAGCGAGCGAGAGAGAGAGAGAGAAAATGAAAGGAGAGAAAGATTTATATGTAAATTTTGGATGTATTATCGTATATACTGTGAGAATACTGCACACGCTGTTGAGTTTTAAAAAGAAAACCGCTGCTTGACTAATTATTTATATAGGCTCCTGAATAAGCGAGATAATAATGTATGTAAAACGACGGTTGCTACTGGAAAAAAATATACATATATTTTATTGAGTTGACAATGAGCATACAATTACATTTTCTATCACAGTAAACACTTTTGATTTTCCCTCAAGCACGCAAGATCAACGCGACAATGTTAACAAACGCGTGTCCACACTCTTTTTAAAAGAATATTATATTTGGCATTTCGTTGATCGATCGCAATTGCGCGGGCGATCCGTGTTACACGGTAGCTCTTACGCAATACCAGTCGCATCGGTAACTTGTCGAATCTAACATTTTTACAGGAGATAACGTCTACAGATAGGTAAATTATCCTAAAAACAAAGCAGCAGCTTTGATGAGAAAGCAGATGAAGACTTATAATGGGATATGACGCGACGCGACACGACACAATAAATGGAAATGTACAACTGAGCTACGAGGCAACGCCAACGGGAAAATAATTGCTGAAATATACAGAATGAGAAAACGCAAACATTTCGAACACTGGTCTACGCCGAATGGCATCTACATCTGGGCGCTAACTTGTTAGCATCGCGAGGGTCAAGTATCGGTGTAACAGTTGAAATGATATTTGATATAAAATTATTATAAAATTCCATATCAAATAATACAATATTATGTAATAGTTAAAACAATATTTGATATAAAATTATTATATATTAATATTATTAATAAATTAATATATATATATTAATTATGGATGTTTGTGTAATCTGCATAAAATTATTTGAAATAGAATTTCGTTCGAGCTAAATGTGTCGCGTGGATGACGGCTGAAGAACGAAAATGTTGGCAAAGCTTCGACCAAGATGAAGATTAATTCAACTGTATGTTATACTTTGTAAGAAGGATATGTAGTATTAGTATTTATTACTTCACGGATCAGTTTATTACTTCAGTCTCTCTGCGCTGAGATACCAGCAGCATTATTCTGTGACTTAACTGAACATTATGATCCCTCAGGTATCTTATCAAATCCGCCTGCTTTTCCAACAGTTCCTCCAAATTCGATCCTCTTGGATGATAACCGATCTCGCCGCCTCCGGCGTAGGAGTCTCGAGTGAAGGACGATAGCCATTCCTCGCGAGTGACGTCGGCCGGTGGACGTAATCGATTAAATCTCATAACTCTCTCTATCCGAGGAACAAATACGATACTAAATATACATGTGTATATGCATATGGACAAGCCATAATAACATATAAACAATTGGGGATTAACGAAGCGAGAGGGATAGTGCATTTCAAGATGCACGATTTCAAGATAGTTACTTTGAGAGGAGTGTTAGCATACAAGCAGATCAATTAAAATTCATACTCTGAAAATGCTTCTCTTCTTACAATCAAAATATCACGAAAGTATTTCGATAAAACACGACTAGTACTCTTCGAAATTGTTATCAAAATTCTTTCGATGCTTCCGAAAACTTGCCTTTCGTGAAATCACGACTCGTTCGTTCAACTCAAAGCTATTTACAGCAATAAGAGATCGCAAGTTTCCGCCAAGGAATGCCTCCTCTCTCTTGGCCAAATTGGATATTTTCGTTTCTCACGAGGTACTTACTGATGTAATTAAGGTAAACTGGCACGATTATCATGAGTTCCACAGTGGACAGCAGAAGGATGTAGTTAAGTGGTGTGAGCCACTCCGATTTTCTACAATACTGCTCATAGTCGACTTTGTGTGTATGGTGTAGAATCACGGCTAGAAGCAAGTAGCAGGCGTTCCACAATGACGTGATAAACAAAGGCGTCCTCACTTGTTGATATGTCGCTTGATAAAAATCTAAATAACCGTTAATACGCAATTTGTGGTGTCTGGTCTTGATAGCGTGATCTGCCACCAATACTATGAGCCAGTAGATGCAGTGAAGGTACAGATATATAAAATATGTGTCACATTTGTTCCTCTCCTCTGGCCAAACAGACACAAAGACAATCCCAGTGATCCCCAAGGAGACCTACGGCACAAAAGTTTCCATAATTCCTGAGACTAGCCTTTAATTAACGTAATACAGCAAAACAAGAGGTACACCTACTCCAAGGAAAAGTGAGATCGATGCAATTGGCGCAGTATTCAACGGCTGGAAATTGTCCTCTTCCTGGGAACTCAAGATTGGCTGAAAACATTCCTCCTCATCCATGTTGAGGGGTGCGTCAAAAAATACAGCTCCCTGGTATAGAGAGGCCTAGTTTAACGTCTAACACTTAGGAAAACAGGTGAAATCGCACATCAGCTACTAAAGGATGGTGGAGCAAGTGTCCCAGTAAATATCAACGGCAAAAAGAAAGTGATACATATCGCAGGAAGAGATAAGAAAAACTTGACTCTTTTATATTTGAGATGCGCTCTGACGCGATAACGACACGTCCTCGAAATTCTTCACTCACTGACACTGACTTTGCAACACAACAGCTTACGAACGAGACTCTCGACTAAGAATATAACTTACGTATTTACAATGCACACCTACGACGTGTTTCTACGCAGTCAGCGTACATTGACGAGACGACGGAAACGCGTTTGTGACCGGAACAAAGTTCGCTGCTAACCTCTGTACAGCGCGTTTTTCTTTCTTTGTTGCCCGCGTACTACGACTACGACATTGAATTCGTGTGGCAAAGAGAGGCTCGTTATGAACCAGATCCAAACAACTCGAGACGCGAGTTCGAAACGACGTACTGTGACGCGGCGCGAGGCAAGGTTAGGATCAAGTTAGGTTATGTTATGTTTACGTCCGCGAAAGAGAGAGAGAGAGAGAGGGAGACGTCGACGGCTAAGAACGCGCACAAGCCACATCGCGCAATGCACCTGTATCGATCGCGATACACGACACGTGTACATACTCACGCTCCCAGAAGTGCTCGAATTCCGTACAAGACTGACCATGCCACACGACTTTGCGTCACCCTGACCCCAGCTGCATCAAAAAGCGAAAGAAATGATCGCTACGACCGCTTGTCGCTACTGACTAACCACTCGAGTTGACTCGAGTGAGATGCACTGGGGGTGCGCTTACGCAACGCCCGACGCAACGTCGGCGTCATTCATTGAAGCAATGACTGTTAGTCGGCTGCTTGGAGCTCGCTCGAGGGAGGTGTTGGAGAAGGGGCGCTCCTCCAACCCCGGCGAAATCGTTCGCCTTATATTCGAGAAAAAGTCGCGACTGGAAATCAACGATTAAAAAACGCTGACAACACATTTGTTTTTAATATTTCTTATAAAAAAATCCTTGAAATTTTATTAGAAGAAAATATTTCTTTATGCAAACTCGTAATATTATTTGACGGGCATTCGAGTCTATATCAATACTCGTTTTAGGACATGACTCAAATTTCTCATTAAGATCTTTATTTTACGGTTCGAGATGTAAATGCGCGAGTATCGTGTTATCTGCTTTTCCATCAACTTACAGAGTTTTCTCCCGGTGAGTGAACAGCGGCGAACGAATAATACTTGGAGCCTCAACGTTTCCAACGGTTTACTCCGAGATATTCTCTGTAATTGTTTAAATGGCACTTTGTCATAACACACGCGCGAAACTCACTATCGGCACTCCCGGCGATGATCATTCGCGCGTACGACGTGCGTTCCCAGCGAGCCAAAACCATGAGAAACATACGACAGCTTTTCGAGCCGTTGCGTCATGATATGTTTTGTACTTTCGATTGACTCACTGCAGCGCTTGAGATGCTCGAAACGATTGGACGCGCCGCAAACTTCGCTCGGTACTGCCGGTTAATCGTTCCGCAAGACGCTTTGAGTGTTTACTTTCGGCGGCTGTCCAACTGCGTTATACATGTGTGAACTTCGACAAGTATACGAAACTCACTTTCAGGACTCCCGGCGCGATTGTTCACGGGCGAAACTCACGCTCAGCCAGTCGATGTCGCGAAATATACCGGACGGCGTCACGAGATCGCCTTGCCGCGCCATGTTTGTGCTCGGAACGGAATTGCATATGGCGGCGATCGAGAATCTCGAGATGGTGTTTCTCGATAGTGATGTATCGATATACCCTTCGATATCGACGTATCGATGCATCGCGTAATCCCCCCGTTTGACGTGATAACCTGCAATTATAGGGTCGTGCATTTATTTACGAGAAGTCGCGCGATTCATAGCACGCACGATGAAACATCCCATACAGCACAAATCTTCAAAGGACGTTCTAAGGACATTCATACATCTTAAGAATCCAAGAATTCATACGTCCAAGAATATTCTCTGAAAATTCTGTACTATCTGGGATATGACAAGGAAAATATAATTTATCCTTAGCGAAGTTGTATTATACATGACCTCGAGAGGATTCCTCAAAAGGAAAATATCTTACATCCAAGGAAAAGAACTTTAGTTGCAAGATATTATTTCCTGCAATTCTATGTTCTAAGCGAAAAAATATTCCTCTTCTAATGAAGTAGATTAATAATCAGAAATTTGTTAGATATTATTCTTTCTTCCTTTTGTAGGAATCAAGAAACATGTGTTTACTTAAAGCAAAATGCCCTCTTATTGGAAGAAATTTCAATTAAGAATTTACTTCGCTAATTTCGCTACTCAGGAAATAACAAGTAACAGTAACATAACATCTATGTTACAATTTCTCACTCAACAATATAATTGTTACATAACACATGTATTATATATTGTTGAGTAGGAAATTGTAACATTGAAGTTACTTGGTATTTACTGAATAAGAGTGAAATTATATTTTTGAAGATGTACGAAATAATAGTAGTAGCAACGATTGCAATACACACACAATTAGAGTTAATATTGCATCAGAAATCATCAATATTGCACTGAAAGAAAAAATAGTTGATTTAAATAAAATTATAGTTTTAGGTCCCAATCATATTTTTTGGTTACTCTAACACGAAAATAGTAATAATAATATGCAGGTAAAATTATTGTCACTAATAACTATGACAGAATTTAATAAAAAAATATTTTTCTTGATTGTAATTTATAACAATTATTTCTCTATGTTCTTATAGTTATAAATATCAAGGTTTTTCTCTTACTTCCTAAATTTCCTGAAATGAGATTTTACTCGGAAAGCAGAATAACAGCCGAGTCACTCGAATTCGAGTCATCTTTCGCTCCTATAAAGTGAATTATCCACTCTGAATCGTTGAGTGAATATTTTCATTGAAAACTAAAGAGCGAATTTGATGCGTTGCACCAGAGGAACATATTCACTCCGATCGATTGAAACATCCGTTCGTATGGAGTCAAAATCCACTCTAATTTTGAGCGGAACATTTACTCTTGCGATTACGAGTGGCAGTATTTTCACTATCGTCTCGAGTAAAAATACCGCCACTTTTTACTCCAAAAAATTTAGAAAATAATATGACAACGTTGTACCGCCAGTATCGACCCGTACAGCACAAAATCTCCTGAGGACGTCCCACAGATGTCTTAAGAACGTAGAAACGTTCCCAGGACGTTCTCAGAACATTCTCAGGACGTACTCTGGACGTCTCCTGGATATTTGTGCTGTTAGGGGACGGTCTTCCTCGAATATTATCATATTACGCGAACTAAATTTTCCTTGCAATATCCTCTAATTACCTACGATCGTAAGACACAAGGTAAAAATAGCTAGATCATGATCTAACTATTTTTACCTTGTGTCTTACGATCGCAGGTAATTAGAGGATATTGCAAGAAAAATTTAGTTTGCGTAATATGATAATCATGAGAATGTCAAGAGATACTCGTTTCGATTGAAATAACAACGAATTGTTTTATCAAAACAGTCTTTTTCATTTCGCACGCAAACAGATCTTCCAGCTGAGTTGATTGATCCTGATTAATTCTGATTGACTTCATCAGGATTCAGAGGAAGCTCAAATCTTCATATTGTTGCAAAATTGGCGGGACGCAGAAGACACACAATTGCGTAATCGAGCGAGGAAAAATGCGGAGATCTGCAAGATAATGAAGCGACGGTTTTATAGTTCACTCGTGGCGAATGCCACGTTTCTGTGTATGCACAGGCATTAATCAAAGCGCCCGCTGCGAAAATATACACCGGAAGCAACGAGTGATGTTTCTCGTGGTCGCGACATAAATCTCGATCGCGCTCGTTTTCGCTCCTAGATCCGGCGTCGTAAAAAGTTCACCGTAAAATCACAGCTCGTTTATTGACGTTCCGACATAATGAGTTTGGTCACACGTCTCAATTTGCTTTTATTTCGTCGGCGGTTATGTTCCACGTGGAAGAGTTACAGCATAAATCATTAGCCTCGAGCTATTGTCTCTATCTCAAGACTGCAATGCGCAATCCTCCTTTCCCGGAATGATACGCGAGTCTACGCATACGTGTGTTTCCAGGATAGAAAAGTAATTGTAAGAAAGAAATAGAACAAGATCACATTCTTTTTATTCATTAAAAAGAATAAGATCACGTTCCTTTTTTATGAAAAGAATGAAAATCGCGTTCTGTCTTGTGAAACTACGGTGTGAATTGTGTAAACTCATTAGAGCCTCGAGTAAAAGACACTGCTCGTTTACGGCTTCCTCTGTCGCCGCGGACGGTAACAGATAATAGGAACCTAAATAGACTTCGAAACGACGTTTAAAAAACGTCTTTAGGATGTCTCAAGAATTCTCTATTAATGAGGTCAGAAACGAGAAAACGCGTGTCCAAAATTCTTGCGAAATACATTGAAATACATAGACATGTCCTTAAAGTGACTCTTGGAATCGATTGAGCACATATTTACCCCAAAAACTTTATTCTAACAATCGATAAATAATAATAAAAAAATTGACGTGACACGCAAGCCTTTCTCCTTAGTCCACCTTTTCTCGTGATTCTGTCACGTGAATTTTGCGGCTATTTATTTGATCGTTAGAATGGAGGGAAGTTTTTGGGATATTTTGCAAATGTGCTCAATCGAGCAGTGTCATTTTGTGAACATAGCGGGTTATTTCAATGTTCCACGAGAATTTTGAGCTTACGCTTTCTGAGATCATTAATCAAAATGGCCACGGCGAGGACAAAGAGGCCTTAAAAGCATCTCTTGGAAGTTGCTGCAGTCTGACAATACTTATGTGCGCGTATTTTTTTCATGCCGAGATGTGCCGTCACTGTTGCGTACATTGAGTGAAATTATCCGATAGAAAATTAAACAGATATTTCCGATCAAATTCTGATCAATTTTTATATCCGATCAGGAAATCCGACTAAATTTTATTTGATACTTCCAATTATAATAGCATTTTATCAGATAAATCGATCAAAAAATTATGAACCGATATTTTTCATCGAATGTTTCCTGACCGGATACAAAAATTCATCGGTATTTTGAACAGAAATATCCGTTTGTTAATCTTTTATCGGACAATTTCTCTTAATATACGGTCATGATACCGCACCGATCAAATTATCGAGACGACTGAATCGAGGAACCTTTCACGAGATCGCTCGTAGAAGAAGAACCTTGAAAAGTTCCTTGATTCCGGCTAAGATACTGAAGATACTAAGATATTGTCATTGGGACACGGTGCAAGCTCGAGCCATGTGGCCGCCGGCTTGCGAGGACGCTTGCGCGCGAATAAACACGTGGTGAATCGCCGTCGAGCTTGTCCGCGGCGCGCCACCGAGGAGCTTGCAGTCTCGCGTGTTATCGCTGCCGGAACGTTTGCCCTCGATCGGCCGGTCAACCGTCTCTTTTCGCACATCGGCACCTCGCGTGGGTGCTCGCGACAACAAACGGAAGCCGCTAAAAAAAGGCGAGTTAGGCGCGAGAAGGACGAAGAGCGATCCAACAAGCAGCGGCTAACAAATCCGCTCTCTCCTTCTCCCTTTCCCTCTTTCTACGGACGCGAACACTAACACTGATGGCAGTCGACGAAAACTGTCGAGAATTCCGTTAAACCGTCATTGAAGAATCGCCGACTGATCCCCGAGAGGAAAGTCCAGGAGAGGCCAGGTGCGACGAGCAACTCGCCGAGAGAAGGACGCTTTGCCGCGTCGGTATGCGCAAGAATGCGGAGTCAAGAATAATCGAGGAACGTCCGCGATCTTCGCATTGACACCCCGGAGAAGTCGATCGTACGCGTGCCGACGATGAGCAAGGAGGAGAGTAGCGGCGAGGTAGGGCCGCAGGACGGCCCCGCGTTGGAGGCGCCTGCGAAGGATCCAAACGCGGATATCTACGAGAATCGCGGGTCCAAGAAGATCATCCGCGTGGTCACCGTGATGGCTTATCTGTTCTCCGTAAGTTTCGTGGGTATTCTATTGAGCGCCTATTACATATTCCTGTGGGAGCCGCCAAATCCGAGACTGATCGAGAGAGGCCGTCTGCGAGCAGATCCGCAGGTGGAGTTCCTCATCGGCGAGCCTAACTTGGAGGAAGCGGATCATCTGAAAGAGCGAAACTTGCTCACGGAGAACGCGCCCGCTAATCGCATGTATAAGAGCGGACCTTTTCTTGGCCGCATCGCGCACGACGCGCCTGACGGCGTCTCCGTCGGGTCCGACGAGGCCTCTCAAGGATTCTCGACGTCCCAGCGGGAAATACTGAACGCGATACGACTGAAACTCAAGTACTCGCTCATGAAAAGCCTACGGGACAGCCAGAGCAATCAGACGAGTCATTTGTCGCACGGAGCGACTTCCAGCAGCGAGTCCGACGATCATTCGCCCCTCGAAGCGAAAGGAGCAAAGAGGATGCTGCTGAATCCCAACGGGAATTCAAGCAAAACGCCACACGGGAAAGTATCGGCGAGAGAGAATCAAGTTACCGGTCTATACCGGAAACTCACTGACTTCTCCAGCTCGTCACCCGTCGCAGATCCGCTGTCCTCGACACCGAGATCCACGACTACTTCTGATGCTAAACCTAAGCAGACTGGGCGTTTCAGCAGGACACTCGCCGAGCCGATCGCCAGGAATGAAGCTCGGCATTCTGGTGAAGAAACCCACGTCGTTGGATCACACACCATTGCCGTGAACGAATCCAGCGGCTCGCGAAGCAATCATGACGCCACGATGCGATGGAACAGCGATTCTCGCGGCCAGAGTGAGACGACGAAGCGACAGAGAGGTTCCGCCGATCGCCGAGTAATCGACAACGAGACTCGGCAAGACTTGGTTCCACCTGAAGTCGCCACCCCGGAGGACCGCCCGTCGCTGAACAACAGCGTCAATTGCTCCGGGCGAAATTGTCCCGACGACGACGAGTATTGCACGAGCTGCCGGACCGAGCGGATCACGCGCGATAGAGTATCGATCGACTCGTCCGGTGGGTCGAGATTCGACGATCTGAGACTTCATCAGCCGCCAGACGACCCGGCCGTAAAACCGACGTACGCCGCGAAATTGCCGCGAAATTCCGAAGGTGAGAGAATATCCGCGGGAGTTTCCGCCAGCCTCGCCGACTGCGCTCGTGTTTATCCCGAAGCATAACTACGGATCGTGCTGGTGTGATTATACAATAGGCACCACGTCATCCGCGCGCTTTGCCCTCGGCATGCGTTGTCGGCACGATACCGCGCTCCAAATCGCGGACCAGCGAGTCCATTACGAGCGAACGGACCCGCTTAACAAACTCTCGTTTTCTCGATCTCGGTGATTTTCGGAGATTGTTATTGATGCGATTGGATAGCGAGGTGAATGGAGCAATTTAAACTACCTCTTTGGCAGCGCGTGCCCGTGCAGGGCGGACGCTAATCTTGAAACTCGAGACGAAAGGTCGAATCCTCGCGTCAGTCTTCGCCGGAACATCTGTCGGAGTTTATTCCCTTTCGTTATTTCCATCAAAGTGCAGCTCGGTGCTCTTCGCACGGAGCTGCGCGAGGCAACACGTTTCAACAAATTCACAGAAATCTAACAAATAGCCTCGATTGTTTCCTGTCTGAAGTTCCCGGATATGCGCGCGGTTGATTTGCCTCTGAAGAATTTATCTCGGCTTGGTCGAGAAGATGGTGGAGCAGATTTTTATTTTCATTTTTATTTTCATACACTGAGAGAAAAATATCTAAGAAATAGCAAATATTTATTTAGTGGGATTAAAATAACGCATTTACTTAAATCTAAATTCCTTTATCTTTAAATGGAATTGCTTCCCGAGTCGAAATTTTGATGCTACTTTGACGCTCTTAACCGGTTCACTGATGAACTCGGAACCAACGTTTCGTGTCAAAACTAGTAAGAACAAAAAATTCTGCATTTTACATGAAAGTTTATTTAATAAGGGGTTTTCTGGGTAACTGATTACGAATTCGAGGTCAAATTTGTCCCGTTACCGGGACACTTTTACTTTTACTCTATGCACCCACAATTAATATCCTTTATATTTATATTTATATTTATATTTATATTTATATTTATATCCTTTATATCGTTCATTATATTTCCAGGGTCAAATTTTCTCTAAAGTCAATTCTGAATATATTTTTATATTGTTTCATTTTATAATTTATAATGTAAAATTCATAATATTTTACTAGCTAATAACCCATACAGCACAATATCTCTTGGGGACGTCCCACAGATTTCCTGAGGATGTAGAAACGTCCCCAGGACGTTCTCAGAACATTTGGACGTCTCCTGAACGTCAATTTGTGCTGTTAGGGAACGAATTATCTATGGAATCATACCGAATATCATACTGAGTTTGTTCCGTATCTATAATGGAATATCAAAGTTAGTCTCACTTAAAGCCGTCATATTGGATCCGTCATTTTAAATTTCTCAAATTTGATCTCGGATTCTTAATCAGCGATCCAAAAAACATGAGGGTAGCAAGTTTCATGCAAATCCGTTTAAAACTGGCGGAGATATACAGCGAACACATATATATGTGATTACCAGTTGTGGCACTTTTTTTCCTACACATATATGTATGCTTACCAGTGAACAGGTTAAGAATAGTTTGCGCCTACTTAGACGGTTTATAGTCTAGGTTGACGATATTGATACTCATTAACTTCTTTTTTTAACCTTTAACTATACCTTGTCAAAATTTTGACGGTATTGACACAAATTTCCGAGTCGAAATTTTGAACTTATGTTGAATCTTGAATTCTACATCGCAGTAGGAGCTAAGATAGCAAAGTAGGTTTAATATTCTAATGATATAATTTACTCCTACTTTGACTCTGATAGTGTCTAAAATATATGCAACAAATAAAATGTATATTTTGTATGCTATTTGATGTTTCTGTTTCGTTATTTATTAAATTTTTTAATTATTAAATTTTTTGAATTATTAAATTTTTTAAATATTTCTATAAAATACATATATTCTATGTAGAAGCTAAAGCTTCAATAGAGATTCGCAACTGAATCTACTTTGCTTCCTAAGATCCTACTATTAAACAACCTACTTTGACGTTAAAGAAAGCGAAAGCGGAAATTTCAGACATCATCAGGGTCAAAGTAGGAGTAAATTATATCATTAGAATTAAATCTACTTTGCTATCTTAGTTCAACATAGGATCAAAATTTCGACTCGGGTTCTGTGAAAAGTTAAGGTTTCACGAAATTTCGATTCTACTTTCAATCTTACTGTTCCATTTAACACTTATTTTAATATTCTGAAACCTACATCAATCTCTTTTGATTCTTTTTAACCTTGAGTCAAAATTTTAACTCTACTTTCAGTCTTACTATTAATTCTATTATAATACAACACTTATTTTAGCACTAAAAAAGTAAAAAAGAAAATTTCAAATATCATCAGGATCAACGTAGGAGTAAATTGTATCATTAGAATTGAACCTACTTTGCTAACTTAGCTCTTACTGCGTAATAGAATTCAAGGTTTAACAAAGGACCAAAATTTCGATTCGGGTTCAAGACAATTATATGTTCTTAGAGAAAAATATTTTATATTAGTATAAGAGCGAACATGTCGTTAATGCGCATCAAATATTTGCTAAATTTAGACATTTTTTCTGTCAGTGTACATAGTCTCCGATCGAATGAGCAAGGTAAAAATAACAACCCAACCTCCTACCCTGAACATTCTCTAAATATTCGTATTTAAAGACCAAAACAACAAGAATGTCCAGGATTAGGTACGTGTCCGGGAATTGATCTTACTTTGTATCATGTCTGCTCTCAGTCGGAGAAATAAAAGAGCATTCTCAACGGACACGATGGAGAGCAATGATTAAAGCCTTAGAAATAAGTCGATGGATCCGGCGCGCGATGATTATCCGCGCCGTTTGTGTAATAAGTGAAACAGGGTCACGTCGATCTATTATGGCTTCCTCTGCGCGTTACATCACACCCAAGATCCGATAACTTTTCAATATTATTACTCCTCAATGCAGACGTGTATCCTGTATCTGTCGGAAGGGCAGCAGCGCGTGTGGAAAGCGCGAGCCGCTATTTTCGCTCAATTTCTCGTCGTGAAAAGTTGATCCGCACGGAATCACGACGGGGACAGCTCAAGCATAATATCCCAAAGCCTCTCAAAACATTCTCAAGGTCCGCGTTCTCCCGGTCAAGTTTCTCCCGAAACTTACACCGAGAGCATGTCTTCCGATCGAACAGTGCGTCTTGTTTGCTGAGGAAAAGATCGACGGGCTAAAACCCGACGCTCCGTCGCTACTAAAACAAAGGCGCGTCTTCTTTTATGGGACAAGTGGAGCGACGAAGCTGCGACAAGTCCATCCATTCTCGACACGAAATTGCTTAGTAGCTCGCCTTACCCTCCATTCGACTCTCGTTACGCTTAATTCCATTTCGCGAGAGGCCACGCTATATATTACCGCTCAAACATTCCACTCGGCTTCTCTAATTTACATTCGCACCCTCGAAACGTCTCTTTGACCAGTAGACCTTAGAAAGAGGATTCTCCTATGCATGACACAGTTACGCCGAAGTCTACGTTATTATTCCTTGAGGAAAAGTAGAAGAAGAAAATCTGTAGACTAACACGAGACCCGGACGCGAGACGAAAGTGCGATAGGCACTTTGGCGAACACCAGAATTCAATTTGATGGTTGCCTTTGTGATGAAAATTTATTTTCATTCGTCGACTCACGTGTCCTTTTCAACTGCTCTCCTTAGCCTCCTATTTATACTGCGAAAAGAGTACTTGAAAATTTATTTGTGAGATATGAAGTTTATTTCTGTGAAATTGTTCCACAAATAAATTTTCAAATATCTTCTTTTTCAATATACAGTTTTCTCTCTTTCCTTCATCTTCCACAAAATACGTATATATGCATCTATATTCATGGCATATATTTTTTTCTTTCGTTTAAAGTACAAAAAATGTAAACAAATAAAGTGACATAAAACAGAGCCACGATCTCCACGCAAGTGTAACGACCCCGCGTATCCTTTCGCGCTTATAAGTTCTTTCGACACGAGGAAGGCGAAAAGCTCGGCGGGTCAAGGTTCTAGAGTTTGCGCACTGAACATTCCATCGTGCAGCTGAGGTGGCTGTTTTTCGCAGCCGCGACAGCGCGCGATACGGGCATCCGCGAGAACCGCATGCAGAAATAGCCGGAGAAACGTGCGTGTTGGTTGCGTGGAAAAGACGAAAGAGTCTAGGGAGAAAGAGAGAGACAGAGAAAGAGAGAGAGAAAGAAAGGGAGAGGAAGAAGAAGAGATCTATCGATTCCTGCATCGCGCGAGCCAGCTTTCTCTGCGTATTCTGCAGCTTGTGGGTGAAGCTCGTATCAGGTGAGGCCGACACGCCCTGTCGCGTCTTTGCAACGTCTCTCGCGATGGTGGCCAAACAACATCCAAACGACAACGATCAGAGTTAAAAAGTGCGAAGATCGACGAGATCGAATTCAAAGGCTGAGAGAGACTGGGAGAGAGAGAAAGAGAGAGAGAATGTGTGTACGTATGCGCGCGCGCACTTTGTGTGATTCATTAGCAATAAATTATAATGCTAATGTGTAATGCGCTCAATGTTCAAATATTTTACGTGCTGATTTAAACACGACTACGTTCGGGATTAAAATCAGCCCGCGTTAGTCCATGTCAGGGAAAAAAGCCCGATTTTTTAAGCTCATGTGAAAGAAGTCTGATCAAAGATTCGAGGTGATATCTAACGTTTATGTGAGAACGAATCCATCCCCTTCGTCCAAATGAATCGATACTCAACTTCGTAGATACTGGAAACGATCGGAAACTCTGCCAAAGGAGAGTAGCTACGATTCCCGAAAGCTGGACTGGACGACTCGAGCGTTCTGGACCAACATCACGAATGTAGATTTGCTTTTCAGCGTCGAAGAAAAGCCCAGAACGATCCCTTTTCCAACGTCCATCTTCTCGGCTCGAGATTTGCCCGAAGAATGATGATGGTCTCATCGACCGGGCCGCGACGTGAGACGTGATCTCACGTCGAGGATGCAATTGCCGCGGAAGATGAGCGCACACAACGTAATGGCGAGCATCAGTCGAACCCTGGGTAACCGCGAGAACAAAGCGTCAGCGGTCAACGAGGTCCGCTTCGCCGGCGACGAGCGTAAGGACAAGCTATACGAGACGAAGCACAAGCAGAAGCTGGTGCGAGTGCTGACGGTGGTCGCCTACGTCATATTCGTCAGCAAGGCAGCGATACTGCTCTCCTTGTACTACACCTTCGTCTGGAACCCCAAGGACCAGTCGGTCAGGATGATGAGGCTCGACAAGCCGGACTGCACCAAGTCCTTCCACGACTCGCTCACGATATCCCCGATCTCGAATGGTAACAGCGCGATCGACGTGTTTCATCGGAAAGACACCAACGACCTAATTACAATTTTCCGCATTACCGCCGTTGTAACGGTCTCCTAATGGAAAATCAATTCCAGAGTTTAATGCCCCGTGAAGCTTTAAAGCGCCATGCTGCAATAGTGCGATGCTTTGGCAAAAGCGCGGAATTTATGAGAGATTTATAGTGATAGAAATTTCACAAAGAAACAAACGTCGAATGCAATGCGCGATATTAACTTCTGTAAAGTGAAATTTTGCACACGCGCTTTCGCAAAATTCAGTATAAGATCTTGAATATTAAATTCAAGTGTAAGATAAAACTATCAATTCTCCCGGACATATACCAAATCCGGACACTCTTATTGGTTTGTACTGAGAAAAAAATACTGTAAAATTTATTTGTGGTATATAAAGTTTATTTCTGTAAAATTAAATTTATTTTTGTGAGTAAACTTTATATCCCACACAAATAAATTTTTAAGTATTTCTTTCTCAGTGCGTGGCCTATATAAATACAAATATTTAAATTTTTAACATAATATATATATTCAATACATGTATATACATATTTTATATGTTGAAAGCTTAAATATTTGTATTTAAAGACCAAAACAATAAGAATGTTTACGATTAATTACAAACATTGGTACTTTTATCTTAATTTGTGTAATATAATTTTTCTATATGACGTTATATTATCTATACCTCTGCATAATTATCATCATTCGACTAATGATTCAACGTTATTCTTCCTTACAGAGACACAGATAGAAAAGATGACGGCCAGATCTACGACAATAGACAATAATCAATTGGAACAGTTGGATTTATCGACCACGCAACAACAGAGAGGTCTTTGGGAAATCCTGACAGAAAGTACTGACGTCGAGGAAACGACATTCGTGGAGTTCACGTCAATGCCAATGGTGCAGGATTATCGCAACAATTTCACTAGCATCGTGAACGACGGCGACGATGAGAACGTCACGTAACCAAGTCAGACTTTTCGCTGTGTGCCGAGCGTGATGAAATGCAAAGAAACTGAACTAGTAATCATCGATAGAGCATTAATATCTACTAATGTAGTCGTCTATAGAGAAGATATTCTTCCACTTTACGGCCAACTATCGATAGGACGTTACAACTATCGACAATTTTCCTAAATGAGAACGAACAAAATGAGAGAAATCTTATAGAGCCTAATCTCTGAAACGAGTATAATCTAGACACTTTCTGACTAATTTATGAATTTGTAATATTACAATATTACATAAAAAGTACTATCGCAATAGTATATAAGATGTAAAAATCAACATTAATATAGTGATAGAACTGAAAAGCAAAACGCGTACTTCTTGTGTGCAAAACAAAATGTTACAAATTGATGTAAAACTTAATTTTGTGTTGTCATTATGTGATACCATCTAGAGATTATAAATGTCATTTTGTGTGCAAATTTTCATTTAATATATAGATTTTCGTTGTGATCATCGCGACGTTGATAGCCAAGATAGAAAATATTAGTTTGTATATTTTTTATTTCATTTATAATTACTAATGATATATGTAGGACATATCGCACGCGTAGTATTTTTAACAGAGTGTGAGAAAGAGACATTTATTATATTGCCACTAAAATTCGCCTAATGACTGTCTCATATACGTTTAGTGGCTGTATCATAGATTTTTTTTTATTCATAGAATTACGCATTGTAACATTTATAAACTATATTTTTTATCGAATGGGCGAATAAAATCAAAATTGGCACAAGTATATGATTTATATTTTCATTTACAGATGTTTACTTATATCCTATCAGAAAAAGTGCGTGTTAACTAAATCTCGAATATATCGAAGAGGGTGAAGCCTCTTTTCCGCGACGCTAATTGGCCGTCTCGACCGTCTCGATTGTCTCGATCCCGTCGCAGTTGAATTCGTGCCTCTTGCAGCTGTCAGCCGCGGTGACAGATCAGGTTGTGTTGTTCGCGTCATATAAATTTGATATTTATTGTAATAGAAAATTACAACTAACATGTATGTTATATGTAACATTGTGTTTGCTGGGAATATAATTTGTAAAAATGATTATTGTAATATAAATTGTAAATAGTATAACAAAAAGACTAAAGTGGCGCGCGCTATGTGGTGTTCTAGTATACATAAAATCTAGGTAACTCGTCGTTCCCTTTGAAGTATCTGAAATCTATTATGTGCCTAAAATTCAAAACTTACTTCTTTTTTTATATATATAAAAAAGAATATCAGCTCTAAACTGATGGAAAAAATTCATGGATAAAAGTTGAATGTCAAAGTTCTTTAATTTTCACGTTCTTTAATTTTCATCTAAGCACTTACACTTCGTCACGTGCTCGAGCACGTGAGTTTATGATACTTCAATTCCGAATTGATCATTTTAATAGCCTTTTTCTCACCCACAACTCTAGCAAGCTCGTAGCAATCGAACTTGTTGTATATGACAGCTACTGACATATTATACTTGGAACCACCACGCGGATTCTGATAATCCGCCGACATCAGATTGCACATCTCACTGTAGAATTGTGGAAAGATGGGCAGCTGATAGAATATGAGGTGTCGGATACCTTTTATCCTAGGTCTGCGATGAAAGTGAAAGCGCTCCGTGTAAAGTAGGAAGTGCACATCGCTGTGGAAGAACATGTCTCTCGCTTTGGCGACTTTCGCATCTTCCGTGTACTCGCATATCTGCGCGAAGCTCAGATCCTCCTTCATCATGTAGTAACGCAACGAGACGAAGTCGTAATAGGACGGCACGAAGATCAACGTATGATTCTTGTACAAGGAATCCTTATATTCCGGCAGCACCTCTTTCAGGAAGAACTCCATCCTGCCGTTTATAGCCTGCACACGATCGGACGCGTCGAATTTGTAGAATGCTTGCGGAATCGTGACGTCCACGTCGCAAATCGAGCCCGGCTCCACTGGATTCACCACTCTAACTCTGCCCGCATAATTAAAGCAAGTTTTCCTCAACGCCCCGTTTATGTGCGGCAACTCCATGCCGGAAAAGATCAACGTCTGCCTATAGTACTTGGTCCAACCGTTCAGGCACCAGGTTCTCAGACGAAAAATATCGGTGTCATGCATCTTTTTGGGCTGCAGGTTCAGATGCTTCAAGATGTGGTGCAGATGATCCCAATTTTGCATGGTAATCAACTCAACCTGGTCCATGATCAGCAGTTCTATGGACGCCAAGAAATCGTAGTCTCTCTCGGCTTCACCTTCCGCCCCTATCAATCGTCTGAGTGCCAACGGCGAGGCAATTATAATGTCGGAGGAGTAGAATTTGCTGTACAACTTGAGCGTCTTCTTTGTGATGGCTATGCCTATATTGAACGTGTCGTCAATGTTACCCTGGAAAGTCAGCTCGTAATCCTTCGGTTTAGGATTTTTCTTCGGTATCGCCAACTCATTCCCAGTAAAATCCTCCTTGAATCGTAGTTTGTTCATAACCGAGCCACCTTTGTCCTCCCCAATTAAAATTGAGATCAACATTTCGACTATTTTCAAGCAAGAATGTCTGAATGGCACTATTATGAGCACCTTGGGCCTCACTATGCCTTGATCTCTGTACTCATCTGGGGTCGATCCATCAAACTTTGCTAGCTTTGCATTATGATGCAGTATTTTTGTTCTAGTCTTTAATACATGATTGATTGCATGTAAGCAATACACAAAGCGTATCTGGTTGGCATTTGAGAAGTTTCTCTCTGGATAATATAAATCCTGATAATTATTTATTATCGAAAACAATTCCCGCTGAAGAGGAGTCAAAGATGTGGAAGGTTTAATTTCCGTGTTGTCCTTAGTATCTTCTTTGTTGTGATTAGCTTTAGTAATATTATTGTGAATCTGCGTCTTCACATGCAATTTATTCCAATCAACAACTTTGATCAAACTTGGGATTCTACCATAACTCGCATACTGCTTATTTTCGTCCAACAGCTTGGTCGCTATCTCCTTATTTGTATCATTGTCCACATTAGGTTTTGGGATCTCACATACTAGATTTCCAAGTTTAGGCCACGACAACTTTGTTGTTTCTATGATCTGTGGTGTTACACTCACTGCGCTGTAAAGTTTATCGTCCAAGTCATTGCGCAGATGTACAGAGAACGGGTCTTTTAGGTAACCAGCGTCCTCTTGAGCAGTCTCGATATCCTCTTCATCATCTTCTTTCACTTGAACCTCAATCTTGTTTTCTTCCTCATTTTCTTTTTGTTTCCTTTTTCTTGATTTCTTTGTTCTCTTATTAGGGGAAGATTCTTCATCAGTTGTTCTAGATTCTTCATCAGTTGTTCCAGATTCTTCGCCAACCTCTTCTTCAACGATATCACTTTCAACTATATCCTCTGCATTGGATACTTCATCAGAACTTTCACTTTCTGAACTGATTGCCTGTGGCTTCTTATAACCTGGAAACGTTGCTAACAGGGATTCCATAGGATCTTCAGGCTCAGAACTGTCATATTCTGAAATTTGAGAGAGACGCGCTCTTGCTGCCTCCTGCTCTGCTATTTGCCTGCGGGCCTCAAGCTCCTCATTCCTTGCCTCACGCTCTTTGATGTAAGACGATGTCCTAAGGTTGAATTTACCTTTTTTCGGTTTCGGCGGACGCTTGTTGCGTCCGTCGAATTTCCTTTTGCCACCGCGGACCGGACGTTTTCCTCCCCCCATCGAAGTGATTTAATTAGTCGAGTCTATACAAACACGTTGTCATCAAATACCGCTTACACCGCTAAAATAAGAACCGTTAGTTGAAGAATAATATAAATTTACTATTATACTTCTGGATTAAATTGTCAATCTTTGAACTTACGTTTTACCAATTTGTTCAGCTGAGAAAGGCGATCAATCACGTGCTTCTATTATTGTTTTTACACTCGGTACCTCTTCCTTTTCACGATAGATATGTCGCTTTGAGATACGATATCACTTCTTATCATTCTTCTTTTCAGTCGAGTTGCATTTACATTTGATATCTCGCATAAGGTCTTTCTCTTCGAATGTACTCTCTCGCTTTTGTACATCCACCGCTCGAAAAGAACAAGGTTATGTTGCGCTGAGCTTACATGCGGAATGAAAGTGCAGAAAGTGCATAAAACGAACCAATCTACTAATCACTGGGCCTGTTCTCTTTCGAAAAACTGTCTGAATTCACACTAGTATTAATAAGTTAGAGTTAAACAATAAATACCTGAAACCTTTTGCATATAATAAATGATAAAGATAAAATGACGCTTATAGCACGTGAGCGTTCAAAGTGAACGCAGCCATTATATACTTGTCTCTCTCTAATTTATTGCATCAGTGTGCACAGTTCAAAAAGTTCATCAAGAACGAATAGATTCACTGTTTTCTTTTACTGTTTGATACTCGGCTCAACATTGATTAGACTTTAACCTGAGTTTAAGTTTTTGTTTAAGTAGAGTTTAAATTCAAGTTAAAGTTCAATTGACATTGATGAAACCTAGTATATTACTCGATGGAAATAACAATTCTATTTAAAATATAGATGTTACCAATATATGTATCGTGAGAAAACGATCTCTAATATTTATCTAAAATCTATAATAACCGTCATGTCTTGTATTATGTCAGTCTCATCATAATTTTCAGCTTCAGGCAATACGATACTCGATGTAAAATTAATTCAGAGAACACATTCTGTGTTCTCTTTTATCGCCAAAAATGTCTGTAAAACGACTCGTGATCAATCAGAAAATTCATAAGCTGCCTTTAAAAGTACTTTCAGCGATAAAGGAATGTTCAGGTCAGGCCGTTATATTCAGTAGAAAGTCAAAGCATACAATTTGAGACGTAAAAATCGCAAATATCGAATTACATCTGCTGTATTAACAATCGCATTATTATTGAATTATTAACGGTTGCACAACTTGTTTCATCAACTTACAAATTTTCCCTCAGTGAGTGAATAGCGGCAAACAAATGACACTTGGCTCTCGGCGCTCTCAACGAGAGCCTATTCCACGAGATTGTTCAAATGACACTTTCCGTGATTGTTCAAATGACACTTTGTCATAACTTTGTCGCGAAACTCACTGTCGGCACTCCTGGCTACGATCATTCGCGCGCACGACACTCGTTCCCGGCGAGCCGAAACCGCGAGAAACATGCGACAGCTCGAAGTCGAGCCGTTGTGTCATGATACTTTTTGTACTTTCGATTGACTGACCGCAGTGCCTGAGATACTCGAAGCGATTGGACTTCGCTCGGTTAACCGTTTCGCGAGACGTTTCGAGTGTTCACTTTCAGCGGCTGTCCAACTACGTTATACATGTGTGAAATTCGACAAACATACGAGACTTACATTCAGGACTCCCGACGCGATCGTCCACGGGCGAAATTCCCGCGAGATTCACACTTAGCGAGTCGATGTCGCGAAATATACCGGACGGCTTCACGAGATCGCCTTGCCGCGTCATGTTCGTCCTCGGAACGGAATTGCATGGCGGCGATCGACAGCCTCGAGATGGCGCCTTTCGATGTATCGATGTACCCTTCGATAGCGATGTATCGATGTATCCCTCAATATCGATGTATCGCTGAGCACGGAGCGCGTTGGAGCACACTAACTACCCATTACGTTTATGCGTTTATTTATGAAAAGTTACATGACTCAGAACAATAAAACGCACGAAATAATAATAATAGCAACGACTGTAATATAGTTAGGGTTAATTGACGTTAGCGGTATCAGTTACGACGTTGTCCGCGCGTTGTTAGACCGATTGCCTTTCTTGCAAATATCATATTACTAAACTTTTGTTGTGATCTTCTGTTCATCCAAAAGCACGAGACAGAGTAAAAACAGAAGACTGGCTGTCTTCTTGAAGAAGGCAGGAGAGTGGATGTAAGCAAAAAAACTCGGCCACCAGGTCAGTGTCCAGTGCAACTATCAATTGCGTAACACATCATTCTTATAACTTTCCATTCAACAATGTAAATATCAGTATAACACGCGTGTGTTATATAAGTTGCAACGTTGTGAGAAATTTAATATTGATAATAGAATATTGATTTAATATAATATTGATGTGATGTTACTGTTTGAATGGGAAGGTAAACTCGAAGAGAGAGAGAGAGAGAGAGAGAGAGAGAGAAAAAAAAAGAGAGAGAGCAATGAGTCGACGAGGAACGTCGCAGCAACGCGGAAGGAAAGGGGCGCGCACGGGAAGCAGGAAAGAGCGGTTGAAATTAATTGACCCTTTGCTCGGTTGTTTACAAAATATCCGGTCTCCGACGAAGCTCGCGGGCCGTCGCGTCGAGACGGACGGTTAACTATCACGCGCGCGCAAGCGACACAGCCAGTTCTGTATAGAAGTACGCTTCGAAAACGCGCGTCGAACATCGCAACTGAATGTTTGAACATTTCCAGGCTTTCGAGGAAAACGGAGTGCAGTATTTCTTCTGAGAAGACACACCTCTTCGTGGTCACAATATCTCCTATCAGTCATACTATCCACGTGAACGAAGCACTCGAAGCTTGCGAGACTCGTGAGTGTTCGTGAGGAACAGAATGGGCCAAAATGCGACGAGACAAATCAGTTCTGCCAAAGTGAATAGTTTTCTTCCTTCTTTTAGTTGAACCAGGCTGTGTGGAATTTAGAATGAGACGTGTGTGTAACTTAGCGTTATATAGGAAAGAAACAAACTTCCCGATGCAGCACCAGTTGAACCAAAAAGAACAAGCCCGACAGCAGAGAACACAGCGACGCCTCGATTGCGTGGGGCGCCAACGCGATCCCGACGCGATCTTGACAGCGCAAGCTGCTGCCGCCGCTCGGTAAACGCACATCACACACAGACGGTTTCATTGTAGTACTTCAGGTGCTTCTCGCCACTCTCGCACTACGGAGCTAAGAGAGAGAAGGAGAGAAAGAGAGAGAACAAGCGAGTCAGAGACCGAGGAGGTGGCAAGGAGGAGGAGGAGGAGGAGGAGGAGGAGGCAGAACAGGGGCGGAGAAGGGGGAGTCAGCCCAGCCAAGCAGCCGGCGGCGAGTCGCAAAAGACAGTACTCGACGTTCGGCGGTTTTTCGCACGGGTCCGGTGGCCGCGACGATCGTGGCCGTAGGAAGCCGGCGCCCGACGAAGCCTGCCTTCCTGGTTCGCGCGCGTCAAGCTACTTGCCTGCCGAGAACGTACACGAGCTGCGGAGGGAGTCGCACGCGAGACAGCGAAAGAGGCGATCGGACAGACAGTCGGTCGGTCGGTTGTGGTTAGTTGGTTGGTTGGTTGGTTGGTCGGTCGGTCGGTTGGTCGGACGGCGGCGCGGTATCCGCGGGTGTATCATCGGCGGTGGACTAGGGAAGATCGCGGCCTACGAACGATTCTCCCGTGTCTGATGAGCTCCTCCGTCGCGCCGCTGCTGGTGGTAAGATGGCTGTGCAGTTGGACGGAGGAGGGAAGGAGGACCTGAAAACACAATTCGTCACGCGGGAAGGCACGTACAAACTGATGACTCTGTCGGAGTACTCGAGACCGAACCGGGTCGGCTACACCAACAGCCAAGGCAGCGCGTCCGTCAGGGTGTCGTTCGTCACGCTGCCGGATCCAGCGGACCCTACGGGCGCGCAGGGCCTTGGTGATCGAATGTGCTTCAACTTCGGCAAGGAGCTCTACGTCTACGTCTACCGAGGCGTCAAGAAGGTAAGCGCGACGATGTGCCCGTGGGGATTACCACGACGTCATGGACGTCGACGATAATGATGATGACGACAGTGACAACGACGGTGACGTGCCACGACATGGGCTTCCCGATCGTCGTACGCACCGTCGTCGAGAAACCTAACCTCTCTCTCTCTCTCTCTCTCTCTCTCTCTCTCTCTCTCTC